CTGGGGGGGGCTGGTTAAGTAACAATATTTCCGTAAGTTGCAATACTATGTAACTATCAAAAAGAGTAAGGTAGCTTAAGAGGCACTGATGGGAATTCAAAAATAAAGAACAAAAGCAAGGTGTAGAATTGTGTGTATAGTGTTCTTTGTTATTTGTGCATAGAATACTTTTTTTTTTTAATTTTATTTATTTATTCATGAGAGACAGAGAGAGAGAGAAAGAGAGAGGCAGAGGGAGAAGCAGGCTCCCAAGGAGCAGGGAGCCCGATGCGGGACTCGATCCCAGGACCCTGAGATCATGACCTGAGCCGAAGGCAGACGCTTAACCATCTGAGCCACCCAGGCGCCCTGTGCATAGAATACTTTTGATAGATTTTATTAGAAACCAGGAATAACTGTTGAGGTAGAAGGAAAACTTTCTACTGTGTACTCTGCTTGTTGGAATGTATGACATGCTGTATGTAGTAACTTTCCTGGTTTCAAAAAGTTTTTAAGTATAGATAACTGTTAAGTAAAATAAGATTCCCCTGTCCTGGCTGTCCCAGTCTCCGTCCCATAGGTACCTGTTGTTAACATTCGTACTAGGTGTGCGAACACAGATAATGCAGAGAATTTTTGGTCTGTGTTACACAAATGAGATCATCACGTATGTGCTTTTTTGTCTCTTTTTAAATCATATATTGCATAGTATTCTGTGTCAAATCTATATTTAATTTTTTTAATAATGTAGAAAAATACCTTAAGTGTACAGCTTCATGTAACCAGTCAAGTAATAAATCATTTTCAACACCCAGAAGCCCCTCTCATACCTCCTCCTTCCTTCTTGAATATTAGCACCTTATAGTTTTCCCTATTTTTAAACTTTATATAAATGAAGACCAGGATATGCTTTCTTTTGTGTTTGGCTTCTTTCACTGTTTTCCTTGTGAGATGCATCCAGGTTGTTACATGTAGCAGCAAGTCTTTCATGAAATTCATTTTCTTTATACGAATATAGCATAATTACGTTTTTCCTCCTGCTGTTGGACATTGGGTTTCCAGTTTAGAGCTATTATGCGTAATGTTGGTATTAAGTCTTTTGGTGCACATATGTAAAGTATGTGAAGTGCTCAGTTGTAGTAGATGTTGTTGGACCATTTTTTAAAGTTACATTTCAGTTAATACTCTTGACCACTGCAGTGAGATTTTGTTCCTGTGGTTATACATCCTAACACTTGATGTTGCCAGTCTCTTTAATTATCCATTCTGGTAACCAGATTTCATTGTGGTTGTAATTTGTGGTTGTATTGTAATTGCTGATTGCTAATGAAATAGAGGTATGAACTGTTCATTAGCCGTTTGTACTTCCTTTTTTATGAAGTGCCTATTCAAGTTTCTTGGCCCTTTTCTATTAAGTTGTTTGTCTTTTTCTTACTGATTTACAGAAATTCTTTATATATTCTAGATACAAGCTTTCTCTAAATTGTACGTGTTGCAACAAATCACTATCCTACTCTGTGTCTCACCACTTCATTTTCTTCACTTTACACTTACGGTTAGTGTATTGTGTGCGCTGTTTAGGAACTCTTTGTCTACCTAAAGTCATGATGATGATATGCTATCTTCTAGAAGCTTTATTCTTTTTCTTTTCACATTTGGATCTATAATCCACCTGAAGTTGATTTTTGTATACGGTGTGAAGTAGCAATCAAAATACCACTTGACTTAGTAAGCAACATTTATTGAAAGGTTGGACCATCCCTTTCCTGTTGTTCTGTGGCACTGCCTTAGTTATAATTTAAGTGTATATATGTTGCTCCATTTCTAGATTCTGTTCTGTTCCATTGTCTGTTTTTTTGCCCTGTACCTGTCTTTTTTTCCTACACTGTGCCACACAGTCTTTTAGTTTTGATATGTAGTAGAATAAGTCATCCAACTTCTTATTTCTCTTATTCCTCTTCAGAATTGTCTTGGATCTTGACCCTTTGCATTTCTCTGTAAGTTTAGAATCAGCTCGTCAATTTCCACTAAAAGAAAGAATGGACACTTGTGAGATATTAAGACTGCCTTTAATCTACCAGTTATTTTAGAGAGAGATTACATTTTTACAGTGTTGAATCTTCCAATCCATGAACATGGTATATCTTTCACTTATTTACATCATTTCTAACTGCCCTGTGTAGTGGTTTTACATATTAAACTTATTCCTAGGTATATTTTTTGATGCTATTGTAAATGGTGTATAATCTGTTGCTGATATATACAAATACAACTGATTATCGTATTTAGAAAATTTGCTAAATTCCATAATCATCTGTATATTCTTTAGCATTTTTGGTGTGTACATCATGTTGTCTACAATGACAGCTTTTTTCCCTCTTTCCTTTATAGTTTTTATGCCTTACTGTATTTGGTTAAGACCTGAAGTACAATGTTGAATAGAAGTGACAGCAAACATCCTTATTTTCTTGATCTCAAAGGGAGTGCTCTCCACATTTCCTGTTATATATGCTGTTTGATACAGGGTCGTTGTGAGGTTTTTTTTGTTTTTTTTTAAGATTTATTTATTTATTTTGGAGAGAATGCATGGGTGGGGGAGAGAGTCTCAAGCAGACTCCGAGCTGAGCATGGAGCTCAACATAGGGCTCGATCCCACGACCCTGAGATCACAAAACCAGGAGTCAGCCACTTAACTGACTGTACCACCCAGGCACCCTGATACAGTTTTTTGGTAAATACTCTATTGGATTAAGGAAGTTCCTTTTTCAGGGTTGTATCCTCAAATAACCAATTTTAGGAGTCACTCTATTACGTGTTCTATTTAATTTCTGCCCTTCTAGATACTCTTTCCTTTTTTTTTTTTTTTTGCCATGGCATGAGGTGTGTTTTATTTTCATTAAACGTACAAATAATTTGCTATAATATCCCAGGGCAAACCGGAGAATTTGGCAGTCTGATTGGGGGGGGTCCCCTCAGAGACGCGCAGGCCGGTGGTGTCGGCACAGAGTGCCCGGGTTCACAGTGCAGCCTGTCACTCATGTCCATCTTGCAGGTGGCTCTTCTTCCTCCACATCACGACTGGGGTGTCTCGAAGATGACGGGGGTGGGGAATCCTCTAGGATCTTAGGAAATTTCACTTCGCTTCTCCTGCTCAGTGGTCTCTTTGGTCAGCAGGGTGTTCTCCTGCGTCTCCATTTTCTTCAGCTTGGCCTTATCGAAGCCGGCGATTTCCCCCATGTCCGGCTTGTCTGCCATTTTCTTAAAGCGATCCGTGGAGTTCCACTCTGAGCCCGGCGCCTGGTGCTCCCACTCGCGTTGCTGCAGCAAGAGACCTTTTTTTTCTTTTTTTTAAGTAGGCTCCATGCCCAGCTTGGAGCCGTGGGGCTTGAACTCGAGACCTGAGCTGAGAGCAAGAGTCGGATGCTTAACCAACTGAGCCCCTCAGGCGCCCTTTCTTTTTTTTCATGTTCCACTTGCTGGGATTTCTTTCTTTCTTTCTTTCTTTTTTTTTTTTTTTAAAGATTTTATTTATTTGTCAGAAAGAGAGAGAGAGCACAAGCAGGGGGAGCAGTGAGCAGGCAGAAGGAGAAGCAGGCTCCCCGCTGAGCATGGAGCCTGAGGCGGGGCTTGATGCCAGGACCCTGGGATCATGACTTGAGGTGAAAGCAGACAGTTCACCAACTGAGTCACCTAGGTGTCCCTGTAATTCTTTAATCCAGATTCTTAGGTCACTGGGTTTTTTTCAGCCTTTTCCCTTTTCTAATATATATATATATATATATCAAAGGTTATACATTTCCTGTAAACCTTAGGTGCTTACCACAGTCTTGAAGTAGAAGTATTTTTCATTTTCATTCAGTTCAGATACTTTCTGATTTCCGTTTTGAGTTCTTTGATTTCTATGCTTAGAAATACATTGCTTAATTTCAAAACAGTTGTCTAGTTATCTTTCTGTTACTGGTTTTTAACTAAATTCCACTAGCTCACAGGATGTGCTCCTATCAATCCTTGAAGTAGATTTGCTCTGTGGCCCAGCACATGTTCAGTTTTGGTAAATGTTTCAACTTCACTTGAGAAGAAATTTCATGAAGTGCTCACTTATGGTTTATGTTCCTTGGAGTTTGTCACGTGGCTTGAGGTCTTTTGACGGTTTTGAAACACCTCAACCATTTTCTCTTCAGATGTTGTTCTGCCCTGTTTTCTCCCCTGTCTCGGTGTTCGAAGACACATGTTAGACCTTTTCCTTTTGTCCCACGTCTGTCTTGTCTGTCTGTGTTTCCCATCATTTTGTCTCCCCCCCCCCCAGTTCTTCCGTTGTCTAGTCTACTGATTTTCTTTAGTTATGTGCTATTTTAGCCCATACAGTGCATTCTTAAATCACTGTTCTCTTTCTTATAGTTACCATTTGTCTGCCAGGATTCTCCATATTGTCACTTAAATTTTTATAATAGTTTTTCTGAAGTCTTGTTCAATAACTCCAATATTTGAATCTTCTGTGGTCTGTTTCTGATGTCTGCTTTTTTCCTCTGGGGTATTGGTTAAATATTACTTTCTTATATACTTGATTTTTGTTGCTGTATTTCTCTGTCAGACATTGAAAAAAAAAGTAACAATAACTTGAATCTCTGAATGATGGTATCTTCCTCCAGAGAGGTTTTACTTTTTTATTTTACCTCTGGCAGTAGCTAGGATAGGGACAGATGACTTCCGTCTGGGCAGACTTGACATGATTCTGAGTTGTCAGGTCTTGTCAGGGCTGGTTTATTTCTGATTTCCCCTCTCTTCCCGTACGGAGCCTTGAGGATCTCAACCAAAAGCTTTAGGTCATATTAGGGACCCTGTACTTTGGAAAGCCCTGAATTCATTTTTGTCTTTCCAACCCCGTAAGACTGATAAAAGCTTTTCTCAGTCTCCCAACTGCAGCTTTTCCTTTTGGAATTGGCAGTCACCGAGAGAGAAAAAGGAGCCCTAAATGGGGGGGGGGGGCTCACCCCTTGGCTCCTCCTCTTATCTCCACGAAGTCTCACCGGCCTGGTAGCTCTTCCCCAGCACCGCCGTACCTTCACACATGGGGGCCGCATCTTCTCCAGCATTTGCTGCTTGTCCCTGGTGGGAGTGTTGCTCTAGAACAACATAGCCGTTGCCTGCAAGAGAGTCCGAGTTTGTGATCAGCGCCCTCACTCCGGGGTGGAGCCTGTGACCTCCTGCCGGAAGTGCAGCCGCGAACAGTAAGCGCCGTCTGGTGGTCCCAGTAGTTACCGGCCCCCTGCTCCCGTGCGGTATTTGCACATACGCTAAATTCTCAGAAGTCGGTATTAGGAAGAGGAGATTAAAGTAATGTGAAAGTTCTTTATGTTGAAGCTTCTCTTCAAGAAAAAAAGACAAAACAAACGTCCTGAGGTAGGGATTTAGTCAGTATCGGTGACAGCCCTTACATTTGGTGCAGGTGGCAGTCGAGATCTTTGACTAACTGTATTTTTCCAGGGGAACGCTAGGAAGTAGCCAAATCTATAGCTGCCCGAACTAGAAACTCTAGCTTTGAAATTATAAAATCATTACACATGTTAGACGGGGACCAATTCTAGAAGAAGTAAACTGTCCTCTGACCTCTTTGTGCATGGCCTTGATATATCCATGTCTTATGAGACTTGTCATTTTCTTTTTTTTTTTTTTTTTAAATTTTATTTATTTATTTGAGAGAGAGAGTGAGAGAGAGAGCACAAGAGGGGGGAGCGGGAGAGGGAGAAGCAGACTCCCTGCTGAGCAGGTAGCCTGATGCGGGACTCGATCCCGGGACTCCAGGATCATGACCTGAGCCGAAGGCAGTCGCTCAACCAACTGAGCCACCCAGGCGCCCCGAGACTTGTCATTTTCCAAAGTAGGAATATTTACTCTTGCCTTCAGTGCTTCAAACCCCAGCTTTCCTCTCTGACCTCGTGCCCAGTTATTCCTTTGTATGATCTATCAGCCAGACTAGGACATTTATTACCTTCTTGGAGCACCTAATACCTCCTGGTGCCTTCCCTTCCTTGTTCTGTTCCCGCTGTGGGATGATGTGTCCGTCCCATTGCAAGCCTGTGCGGCTTGTCTCTGCAGGTGCTTTTTGTGAAGTCGTGAAAGGCTCTTAGATGTCACCTCCCTCCTTTACCGATTCTTCTAACCAGCGCTGTGTCATCTCTCTCCTGGGGCTCCTGTGTAGAGACCTCTGCTACCTTTCGGTTGTTCACGGTCAGTTTGTGTACTCTCCCATCTCTTTTCCACATTGTCAGTCCCTTGGTGATGGAGCGCTTAGCTCATCTTTGCATTCTTTGTCAAGTGTGAAGGTCTAGTGCCTCTCTGAAGTGAGAAGTCAGCTAATTAAAAATTGAATTACAATGCAGAACTAAACTGATTGCTAGATACATGGATTGACTATTTCTTTTTATGATTTATATCTTTATCTTACTTTTTATTAGATATATAGTTCATTATATTTAAGTGGAGTTGCAGGACTCCCATGTTTACATGTAACAGATATTAACTCTTATTGAAATTGTTTGCCTTTTAATTTTCTGGTTTTTGTTTTGCTTGGGGATGTTTTTATTTCCTGCCCACATAGGTTTTATGTCTGTTTTGTGGAACTGTTGGTACGGTTGGAAATTCCAATGGTGTACAGTGGGGTCTCTTGCTACAGGGCAGTGCTTTTATACAGAGAGCTTTTCTCTCTTTTTTTTTTAAGATTTATTTATTGTAGAGCACACGTGCCAGTGGGGGAGGGGCAGAGAAGGCGAGACTCTCAGGCAGACTTCCCGCAGAGCACAGGTCTCCATCTCACAACCCTGGAGTCATGACCTGAGCCAAAACCGAGAGTTGGACACTCAGCAGACTGAGCCACCCAGCTGCCCCTTATATAACTATTACGGAGTTAAGAAATCACTAGAAGCTTCTCAGTGAGAAGAAGGTCTGCAGTGCTAGGATTGTAATTCGGCTGAAGACTGAATGCAGCTGTGTGCAGAGTGCCGGCTCTCGTCGGTCACTTTGCTGCAAGCCTGCTTCGCAGGAGGGGGGGGAGAATAGACCGTCTTTGTCATCGGGACTGCCTGGTGGAAAAGACATGTGTCTGGGTAATTATTATTTAACAGTAAATACCAGAGATGCTGCAAAAGTCACGAATGTCATGGTAGCACATTTTTAAAAAATAAAGTTGAACTAAAACTGAAAATTTAATGAAAGGACTAAATCAGTTTACTGGCTTATCTTTGCTGTGATAGGGTTTTTGGGGGGAAGGGTTGGAAAAGTTTCTTAATTTTATCATTTCTGTAAGGCAGTGTAAACTTGTAAGCATCATGGCTCTAAACCATGACTGAGTGTGACATTCCACTTTTTAATGTATGCAATGTATACATTTGCTCCTTGTACATTTATTATTTCGCTTTCCCTTACTTGTTCAGATTATTGCCCCCCCACCCCCATAGTTAATACTGGCAATTGACTTTCCTTCAGGGGCCTTCCTTTACAAAGAAATTGTTTTTTTTTTTTTTTAAGAATTTTTATTTATTTATTTGACAGAGAGAGAGCACGAGCAGGCGGAGCAGCAGAGAGAGAGGGAGAAGCAGGCTCCCCACAGAGCAGGGGGCCCGATGCGGGGCTCGATCCCAGGACCCTGAGATCGTGACCTGAGCTGAAGGCAGAGGCTTAACGACTGAGCCACCCAGGCGCCTGTGTTTTTTTTCTTAAGATTTTATTTTAAGTAATCTCTACACCCAACATGGGGCTTAAACCCACAACCCCAAGATTAAGAGTCACACGCTCTACTGCCTGAGGCAGCCAGGCGCCCCACAGAGAAATGTTAAAGTTACTGAAAAGGAGACTTGATAGCAGTGATGAACAGAACACAGAGTTATATTGTCCTGTAGACTCAGTCGTGTCTCTGCTTTCTGCCTTTCAGCTTTGGAAGAGGAGTGGCCCCAGCTCGTCGCCGTTCTCCAGCCCCGCCTCGTCCCGCTCCCAGACCCCCGAGAGGCCAGCAAAGAAAATAAGGTAATGAGTCCTGACTCGCCTGCAGATTCACAAAAGGGCAGGAAAGGAAGGACACGTGCTTGGCTCTTAGGCTTCCTGCAGCTGTGATTTGGAGAGTCAAAGAAATTGCCATCTAGAAGGACAGGGAAAGTACCTGCCTGAACTACTCTCCTCTCTTACAGTCTTCATGCTGACCCTAGAGTCTCTGGCTCTCTTCCTCATTCTGCAGCTGGAGCAGCCGGGGTGTGCAGGGAGCAGAGTGAGTTACGTCAGGGGCAGGAGAGCTCACGTTCTAGACTCTGGCTGACCCTCTAGGCACCGAAAGTCGACTAGAACGCTGCTCTTGGGGTCAGATGTGTGACAGCTCGCAGGGATTGGCAGGTTGAAAGTAAGGTTTTGAAGGTTATTGTGTTGTGCTTGCTGTAAGACAAAGGTTTCTCCATGGCGTCCGTGAACTGCCTCCCTTCGTTTTGTAGGAATTTTCTTTTGATTTCTTAAATTTTTTGTCTTGGCATACTTTGATCTTAAATCATGATGGTCTGGACTTTGGCCAGTTGGTAGTTAGGAGGGTGTAAGAAGTTACCCAGTACTCTGTCGGGAGGACTTTCTTTTTCTTTTTCTTTTCTTTCTTTTTTTTTTTAAAGATTTATTAGAAGCAGTGAGAGAGCACAAGCCGGGGTTGGGGGGCAGAGGGAGAAGCAGGCTCCCCGCGGAGCAGGGAGCCCGATGCGGGGCTCGATCCCAGGACCCTGGGATCGTGACCCGAGCCGAAGGCAGACGCTTCACCGGCACCGGAGCCCGAGTCAGGAGGTGTTTCTAAGCGCACCTGTGCCTCTTCCACCCGCAGAGAAGACGAGCTTTCTCATCGCTCCAGTTCTTCAACCCCGTTGGCAACAGACAAGGAGGCCCCGGGAGAAAAGGGTAGGTGGATAAGCGCACGAGAGCGACTTGCGGTGGGCATGTTTCTGGAGGCTCCGAGAACACGCGCCGAGCGTCGCTGCGTGTGGGGCCTGTCCGGTCAGAGGTTTGTAGTCTGTGGCGCGGGCAGATCGATGTCGCGGCCCGGCGTCACTGGGGCTGGCGGTCAGCCGAGGTGCCGGAATCTGCGGGCGGGCCGGTAGTACGCACTCGTCTGCCTGCGTTTGGGGCAGTTCCCTCTTTATGCCCTCCAGTCAGAAATAATCTTGCACACACTACCCAGGGCCCCAAGCACGGAAGATGCGACTTTTCAGAGGTACCCAGTGAAGAGAGGGTGGGAAGCCGGGTGGATAGACAAACCTAGCCGTTTCTGGAAGGGAAGAGGAAGAAGACCAGCCCGTGTTGTTTCTTTAGCTGCAGATACAAGCACGTGGAAGGCGCAGACCTCGTGCAGCTCCCCGCCCACACCTGGCAGCTCCGGGCGGCGCAGGCGGAGGGTCCAGTTGCTGCCGTCGCGGCGAGGGGCCCGGCTGACGCTGGTAGGGCTCTGTCCGGCCACACCCGTCCGCCCCAGCACAGCGCTCCCCAGTTCTCGGGAAGCTGAACACAGGCCTCCTCCAGCTTCTCTGACTGACGGGCCTCTCGTCTTCCTCCCTGGCAGCCACCCCCTCCCCAGCTTGGCTACTCCATCACTGCCGAAGACCTCGATCTGGAAAAGAGAGCTTCGCTGCAGTGGTTTAACAAGGCCCTGGCAGACGGGACCGGTAAGGAAGACCGACCAGCTCCACGCTCTGGAAAGGAGTCGTTTCCTGGGGTTTTAGTTGGATCCTTCTCATCTGAGAAATCCATTTGGGTCCTCGGTGTTAGCGGGAACCGTGGGCACTGGCGTTGGGGAGGCATTTCCAGATAAGTGGATCCCGAGCGCCCTGTGTTCTCTGGTGTACTCCTGGAGAGAATTACCCAACACGATCTTTCTTCCTTGCTTAGATACTGCCTCGAGCTCTGTCGCCGAGAAGCCCCCTGCCACTCAGCCTTCTCTGACGTTTACCCTGCCCGCTGCTGGGACCACCGCCTCCCCAGCCACCCTCCCAGCCCCCTGCAGCAGCCCGCTGCTGGAGAGCTTGAAGAAGATGCAGAGTTGTGCCGGCCTATCATCTGCCCCGGGTGAGTGGGAGAGCCCCTGGCCCCGGAGCATAGAAGGACCTAGGTTTCCCCCGAAGTAAAAGCAGCTCGCCTGCCAGTCCCCGGAAATCTGTGGGAGCTTGAGCCTGCTGTGGCTCACCAAACCCGAGCTGGTGTGCGCTAAAGAGCTTCAGAAGTCTCTAATCGGGAAGCTTTCGGGAAGGGGGCTGCGATACTTAAAGCTGGGGTCGGCGGCCTCACTTTAGGAGTCCCGTGGTTCATGATTTGAAACTCCCTTCCTGAGCTGTTGGGAGCCTTGTCGTCATCCTCAGTAATATGCGAGTAACATTTAGCTTGTGAGGCGTGAGGCTTTCTGAAATGGAAATGGGAGATCACATGGTTGGAGATCCCGCCGCGTGCCCTTAGACCATAGGCACGAGAGGATGGCGTCCTTTGCCCTTGAGGTCTCCAGGGGTCCGTCACAGCACCGCATGTGCCCACATCCGCTCGTTGCACTTCGTCACATGGGGGGCTCTGTCAGGCATCGGCCTCTCCCAGGGCCTGGGGGAGGGACCCTTCTGTGCAGCTCTGTGCTCCGCACTCGGCACACGGTAGGCAAATGCAGTCAGTCTTTCTGGGGTGAGTAAGGTGCATCTAGGTAATTAAGTGGACTTGAGTTTGGGTGATTGGGTTTTCCTTAGTTTCCACACAGTTAACCCCCACTTAGGCCAAATCGTATTCCGTTGTATCTTATGGTCTGTGAAGGGTGGAAATAGTGAACACCGCGTTGATTTTACGGAGTGGATACCTGAAGGGGTTGTGGTTTAGATGGGGTCACATTTGTTGACTTAACTTGGGAGCCCTAGCACTGCGCCGAGCAGGAGGGCGAGGGGGGCACAGAAGCATTGAATGCCATCACGTCGGAGGTATTCAGAATTCACGTTCTCTCTTCTTCCCAGAATCCACTGGAGTGGCAACCACTGTGGCCCCTTTGCCTCCGAAGACACCCAGCCTTCTGGCCCCTCTTGGCTCTTCACAGTCAGGGCCCCTTCCAGGCACTTCCTCGGACTCAAAAAATGCAGCCCCTTTTTTGGGGCTGACCCCTGCTGCATCCCCGACACCAGCCACTGACACCACCAGGTCACCTCCGGCTCCTCAGGCTGAGACATCTGCCAAATCCCCAGCCCCGGCTGCCCGGTCCCCCACCCCCAAGGAGAGTCTTCTGTTGGGAATGCTGAGCACCCCACCTGCTGACCCCCCTGCGTCTACAGCCCCCGCTGTGTCTTCAGCATCCCCCATGTTCAAGCCCATCTTTGTGGCCCCGCCAAAAAGCGAGAACGAGAGCCCCTTGCCGTCCAGCCCCTCCAAGGTCCCCACCACGACACCTTCCAGCTCCGCCCTCCCTGCACCTGCTAGCAGCCCTCAGCCCACCTTCAAGCCCGTCTTCGGCAGCATGGGGCCCCCTACATCTGCGCCCTTGTCCGCTCCCTTCCCCTTCGGTCAGACCGCTGCTCTAGCCACTGCCACGAGCAGTCCTCTCTTCGCCGGCCAGGCCACTGCCGCCTCAGCCGTGGCTCCCGTGGCTCCCGCGGCTCCCGCGAGCACGGCCAGCACGTCGGCGGACTCGGCTTCGAAGCCCACGTTCAGCTTTGGCGTGAGTGGCGTGACCAGCACCACCACCTCCGCTGCCGCGCCTTTCCTCTTCGGGGCGCCCCCGGCCTCCGGCGCCAGCTTTAGCCCGGCCGTGGGCTCCGTGTTCCAGTTCGGCAAGCCCCCTGCC